TTTATTATAGGTTTTAAATGTATAAAAAAACACATAGTACAGCAGGTGCTCAAGTAATGTCATTTTGTTCAACATCTTTTATGCTGTAGAAACTTAACTTGTTTATATCAATTAGCCTATGGTAAAATTGGTTTCAACATACGTCATGTTGCCTAAGTCCTAGAACTTATCCATGTCATTAAGTGAGGACTTATTATATAGTTGACCCTTGAAAAACTTGGGGGTTAGAGGCCTCCCTTGCAGTTCAAAATCCATAAATAACTACAGATCTCCTTTGTAGTAGTTGAAAATCTGTGAATAACTACCGTTGTCTGCTTACATTGATTCCCAACTATAAAGTTGACTTGTGAACATGAGTTTGAACTTCAATGATCAATTGAAAAAAAACAGTGTATATATGGACCATGTAGTTCAAATCTGTGTTTTTCAAAGGTCAACTGGATATAAGGTTCAGTACTACTCAATGTTTTAGACATCCTCTGAGGTCATATTTGAGGTCTTGGAACATATTTCCCAAGGATAAGGGATGACACTGCATAGAATACTAGTAATTGTAAGGATTAAAGGCGAAAATTATGTTAAGTACTTAGAAAAGTACTTGGCACATGTCACTCTTGAGATTAGATTCATGAACTAGTGTTATTGAAAGTAGGGACAATTAGCAGCAGCAACAGCAGAAACAACTATTCCTTTGTTTAGCTCTTTCCAGTTCAGAGTGTTTTCATGCACATTGTAATCTCAACCATTGTGAAATTTTAGGATCATGGGAACTGTGTTCAGAAGTTTATATTTTATTTACTTGGTTCTTTCCCTTTATATACTAGTATATACTAGTTGTCAGACTGAGTCAGTTTCTTAACATCCTCTGAAGGTGACCAGTGACCTTTTTCAAGACTTAATATAAACTTTTGGGTTTTAGCTTTTTGATATATTTCACTCCATATATATAATGATGATCAAATTGTTCCATCTTGGCCCTTGCTGGCATGGCTCAGTTGTTAGAGTGTTGCCTGTGCACTCTGGTTCTCTGGTTTTATTCCCAGTTAAGGGCATGTACCTGGGTTGCAGGTTCAATCCCTGGCCAGTTGAGGGGCTCGTGTGGAAGGCAACCAATCAACGTGTCTCTCTCACATTGATGTTTTTCTCTCTCTGTCCCTCCATCTCTCCCTTCCTCCCTCCCTCCTTCCTCTCCTCTCTCCTCTCCTTCCCTCCCATCATCTCCCCTATCCTCAGGTGAGGATTAAAAAAAAAAAATTGTTCCATCTTGGATCCATGGGAACCCCTCCAGGTTGGCCCTTGAGTCCATTTCATACAGCCTGATAGTCTTTAATAACTTTATTACTCATTTAGTAATGTTTTACGGAGTTGAAAAATTATAGGTGTTAAAATCTCATTAATTCTGTTTGATATATTTATTCAGAGACTGAGCTAAAGTTTACCCTTTCCTTTTTTTTTTTTTTTAAAGAAAATTAATCGTTTATGCATGTTTATATGAAGAATTAGCACCACAGACAAAACAGCTTGTGCCTCTTAAGCTTTTTGGAAGGTTTAATGTGCATTCTTACAACTGACTGTTTCTTCTACAGAATTTTCTTACCAACTCATGTTTAGTGGCAAGTACCTGTGAATGTTGGTAACTAGGGATAAAGAACTATAAAATGAAAAAAATCCTAAATTGACATGTAGATTACTTGTTTGCAGACTAAGAGTACCCTCAGCCCAGCAAGCCCCATCCCCAAGGACAGTTGTGGAAGGTTCCAGAAGGCCTAACTCCAGAAATTTCATAGGAACCTTTCTCTGAATAGAGCTTCCTAGAATGATTGCTCTGTCACTCTCCTTTCTATCTTGTATAATATGTATTTGATGTATTTTGTTTATGATCTGTCTCACACTAGAATGTGTCTTGAGAGAAGGAATTTTTGCAGATTTAGGTCTAGTAATAATTAATGTCGTTTTCTAATACTTTTTTAAATCGAATTTATTTAAACAATACAACAAAATTTAATCAACAATATAGTTGCCTTTGTTTTCTACTACTTGTGCCCAACGCTCAGGAAGCATTTTAATCCCTCTGTTGTAAAATTCGGTCAATGCATTTTTGAGGCATTCTTCATTATTAAATTTTTTTCCAAGAAGAAAGTTTTGCAAAGAACAAAACAAATGGTAATCGGAAGGGGCAATATCAGGAGAATATGCAGGTTGAGGGAGAACTTCCCATTCCAACTGGCGCAGTTTTTCAGCAGTGATTCTTGCAGTATGCGGCCGTGCGTTATCGTGGTGAAGAATTACGCCCTTCCGATTAATCAGCGTGGGTTCTTTTTCTCTTAAAGCTTGGGCTAACCTTTCCAATTGGGCACTATACACTGCACTTGTAATGGTTTGGTTAGATGGTAAAAGTTCATAATGAAGAATTCCTTTAAAATTCCACCAAACACACATCATCACTTTTTTCGCATGCAAGTCAGGTTTTGGCGTGGGCTGCGGAGCCTCATTTTTGTCCAACCATTGAGGCCGCCTTTTCAAATTAACATACAGCACTCATTCTTCATCTCCGGTAACAATTTGCTTTAAAAACGGCAAACGGTTTTGACGAGAGAGGAGCGAACTGCAAATTGTGACTCTTTGATTACGGTTGTTGTCGGTCAACTCATGAGGAACCCATTTTCCAAACTTTTGGACTTTGCCAAGTGCACGCAATTGACTGGAAATTGTTTTTTGTGAACAATTTAAAGTTGTCGCAAGCTCTTGTTGGGTAATTTGAGGATTTTGCACCAAAAGAGCTTGAAGAGCTTCTTGATCAAAATTGGACACATGGCCTCGACCACTCTTGTCATCTAACGAAAAATTTCCCTCGCGAAATTTCTCAAACCAACGCTGGCATTTTCTGGCGCTAACTGCATCTTGACCAAGAGCACTACAGATGTTTTTTGCAGCCTCACTTGCTTTTCTTCTTAATTGGAACTCGTAAAGCATGCAGTGCCGAATATGCTCTTCATCCGCCATCTTCTTAGCCCTAGTTTTGCAACAAAAACCAAACCAAACACAAACTTTTTCAAGCAAAACTTGTTAATTGCACTTCACACGTTCTGTAGATACCACGTGTTTGAAGGTTATGTCATTACAAGTCAACGCCAAGCAAGATTTTAAACGAATGTTAAAAACGACATTAATTATTACTAGACCCGATACTTGAGCTCCACAAATGGATACTCCATTGTGGGTGAAACCACACTCCAGACATCTACACAGAATAAACCAGGAAGAAGGTAGAGAGCAGACAACTGGTTTTCTAGTAATGGTTGATTGGTGTATTAAGTAGAGGCTATTGGCTAGGCCTTGGAAGGGTCTATGGAAGGAGATAGAGCTGCAAATGCAGTGCCTGGAAATGTGAAATATAGGCCCTTGGGTGTGTAAGAATGGATAGCCTCAGGACTAAAGGTCCCAGGGGCACTGCAGTGAAGGCTGAGGTGTAGGGCTGGAATTCAGATAATTGAAAACCCAAGTGTTTGTTTAGGGTAGGGGTGTCGAACTCAATCAGAGAAGGGGCCAAAATCTAAAATCCAGCCTAAATCGCGGGCCGAATGGTTTACTGAATAGTCATAAACTGTCATTGTTATGGAAACGCAGCGGAGTGCAGTGATGACAGCGCGGTGCGGGCCACATTGCAAGGCCTGGCGGGACGGATTTGGCCCGCGGGCCTTGTGTTTGACACATGTGGTTTAGGGCCTAGGAAATACAGTTTGAATTGTTTAGTTTAGGCAGTCATTGTTAAGTTTAAAAAATGGATATTTCAAGAAGTGTATTTATTTTTAATAATACCATAGATTTTTATAATTCTTATTTGATTTTTATGTATACACAGGAAAAAGAGCATATCCTTTTTTTGGGCAAAGCTCCTGGCTAGTCCTTGTGCACAATTTCCAGGGTTTTTATAATACTTTTAAATTCTATTAATTTTTTTCCTTCCAAAGAAAATTGAGCTAATGAAAGCAGCTTTTGACTAATTTATATTTGTGTTTGAATTGTTTGGGAAATATTAAATTAAGTTTCTTACCATTAGTTTGTAGAGATGAAGAAAACCAATGTGACTTATTTTCTTGTATATAGACATTAAAATACAATATACCATTAAAGCTTTGACATTTTAAGTAGAAGTGTATTGCATATTGATTCAGTTAGTTTTGCCCTATTAAGTGGTTATTATTCAAAGTGTAGATTACTTTGCATTCTGTAATTTCATAAATGTGTTCTTTTTCCCCTGAGAAAATGATTCTTATGTTTATTAATGTTAATTTTTGTTTTGTGAATGAGCTGCTAAAAACTAGATGGTGTAGTGGCTAGGGGATGTTTTTGAAAGTAAAGTACTTTTATAGAATTATCTTATTATTTGTATAAATGAATTTGTTTAGTAGGTTACTTTTTCATCTTAAGATGTTTTCTTTACTAACTAGGTAAGCACTTTTGGAAAAATAATTTAATCTCTCTGGTTCTCAGTTTCCTCATATTTGTAAAATAAAAGTTTGAATTAAATGTGCTTTAAATTCCCCATCATTCTCTAAGAATAGCTGAGCTTCTCAGTTGATAGGGAAATAGTATGCATTCTTAAATGAAGAAATGGGTGTTTTTTTTTAATCTATTTGTTTAAAGTATGAACCCTCATTTAGTTAAATTTAGCATATGAAAACTCAGATTTACAGAATTGCCATTGCAGAACATGTGTGAGATTCTTAATTTGCCAAAGGATTTTTACTTCTTTGACTATAAATAACTAAGATTGAGTTAAGTATAATTTACACATGGATTTTTAAAAATTATATATATTTGATCAATTTTTTACAAAGAGGAAGGGAGGATGATAGAAACATTTATGACAGAGAAAAAACAATCAGCTGCTTCCTTCACACCTCCTACTGGGAATGCTCCCGCAACCAAGGTACATGCCCTTGACCTGAATCGAACCAGGGACCTTTCAGTCAGCAGGCCAATGCTCTATCCACTGGGCCAAACTCGGGGCTACACATGAATTTTTTTTATTATGTTTGTTGAATAAAGCAGGGTGGATTAGAGGAACCCCATTTGATTAGGAAAGTTTAAGGAACACTTTTGAAATGGCTTGAAGAAAATGCAAAGTGATTAAATTTTTAAAAAATGTGCTTCAATTTATTAAAAAATGTGCTTGTTTGAACGTTATTTTGGAGAGAGATTGAAAAATTAGTTGCCAATAATAAATTTTACTCTGTTGGCAAGTTTTTCAGTAATAAAACAGAGCTAATATTAGATTAATAATGTTCTTACTGATTGTCCTATATAATAAAGAGGTAATATGCAAATTAACCCTCACAAGATGGCTCCCTACTACCTGGCCGGCAGGGGGGTTAGTGAGGGATGACCAAATGACTGAACAGCAGGCTGTGTGGGGTGACCAAGCTGATTGGGGGGGGGGGGGTGCTGTGAGGGGCAACCAGGTCGGCAGAAGGGGTAGTTAGGGGTGATCAGACCAGCAGGGAGGGGCAGTTGGGTGCAACCAGGTTGGTGGGGGGCAGTTAGGGTCAACCAGGCCGGCAGGAGGGGCAGTTAGGGGCGATCAGCCCGGCATGCAGAGGTAGTGAGGAGCGATCAGGTCAGCGGTGGGCAGGGGGGGCCGTTAGGGGTGACCAGGCAAGCAGGCAAGCAGGCAGGCAGGTGAGCGATTAGGAGCCAGTGGTTCAGGATTGTGAGAGGCCCTGAGGGGTCCTGGATTGGAGAAGGTGCAGGCTGGGCTGAAGGGCCCCCCCCCCCCCCCGCACAAATTTCATGCACCAGGCCTCTAGTTCCATTAATAAAAGACTCACTTGTTCCTGATGGTGGGTTCTTGTATCTGCTATATGCTTAGTGTGCCTGGGACCTATATATTTACTATATATTTAGTGTGACTCTAGTAGTTCAACAATTAATGCACCTGGAAAGTGGCTACCTTAGACTTTGTAATAAGAAATTAAAGGTCACTAATGATAAACAAAAACTGTTGGATTTAATTATAAAGCATTCATAAAATACTTGAATGGTTTTCTTATCCTTTCTTATGAATAGCAAAGCAGCTCATGGAAAGTAATATAACGTTTGCTGTGATTTGCAATGGCTGGTGAAACAAAATAGAAAAGGAAAAACACTATACTTTGTTCTGAAAGACAGTGGATACATATGTCATCTGACCTGAGAGAGAATTTTACCTCAACAAAGACCCAACTTGTGAAACTCTAGCTTCCCTTAGAGAAACTGTTATTCACAGTCTGTTGGAGTCATCTGTTTTCTAAGGATTAAAGTGTCTGACTCAGTGTGTAAGTAATTGCAGAAAGTTAAAAACTTTTAGAACTATCATGCAAACAAAAAAATTTCAAAGGACATTTATCATCTCTGACAAGCATTTTATAGAGAATTTCTTAGCTGTAATAAATTAACTCTGTTCTTTCTGACTCCTGAAAGAAATTGTGATAATGAACACGTTTTGAGTTGGTGATTCTAAGTTTGTCAACTTTGCCCCTCTGCCATTTGAAGTTCAGATGGAAACGTTTGCTTTCATAGCTCTACTCATGTTGTTACTTTATTTAGCAACTATTAAATTACCAATTCCATATACTCCTTTGGAGGTGTTCCAGTTTGCACTAAGGTTTCTGTTCCTTTCAGCAGCATTGCTTATGGTGTGTGGAACTTTCCTGAACAAGGAATATGAACAGTGTTTTTATTTTTTTTTTATTTTTATTTTTTTTTTCTTTTATTCTGAACAGTGTTTTTAGAGTGGATAATTTTAAGCTTTTCTATTTTAATAACCACTTTTTTGAGATATAATTCACATACCACACAGTTTACTCATTCCAAGTCTGAGATTCAGTGATTTTTAGTGATTGCTATTGTAGATATGTGCAACCATCACCACAATCAATTTTAGAACATTTTTATCATCTTAAAAAGAACCTTAAACTCATTAACAGTCACTCCCCATTTCTCTCTAAACCTCCCAGCCCCTAGCAACCACAAATCTACTTTTTGTTTTTATAGATTTGTCTATTCTGTACATTTTGTATAAATGGAATCACACAATATGTGGCCTGTTATGACTGGCTTCTTTCACTTAGCATATTGTTTTAAAAATTCATCCACATTATAGCATGTATCAGTACCTCACTCCTTTTTATGGTTGCATAATATTCCATTGTATGGATAGACTATATTTTATCTATTCATTCATCAGTTGATGGAAAAGTGATTCTTTTTGAAGTTAACAGTCAAGCTGATAGTTTAAATATAAGTTGAAATGATAGAAAATCTTTTATTATATAATAATATACCTTGACTACCCAGCCAGCATGGCTCAGTGGTTGAGCAGTCAACCTATGAACCAGGAGGTCATGGTTTGATTCCCCCACTCCCACCCTGGTCAGGGCACATCCCAGTGGGGGGCATGTAGGAGGCAGCTGTTCAATGATTCTCCCACTCAGGCGTCCTCAAACTTTTTAAAGTGGGGGCCAGATCACGGTCCCTCAGAGAGCTGGAGGGCTGGACTATATGAACTACGAATTCCTACTGTAACACCTCGGCTGCGCTCACTGCCCAAAAAACCTGGCGGGCCGGATCAGACTCCTCTGCGGGCCGCATGTGGCCCGCGGGCCGTAGTTTGAAGACCCCTGTCCCACATCATTAATGTTTCTATTTCTCTCTCCCTCTCCCTTTCTCTCTGAAACCAATGAAAATGTATATTAATAAATAATATACCTTGACTAAAATTTAGCATTTCATTTTCAAATTTCATAAAATTTAGTTATTTTTTTAAACAGCTATCCTCTTTTCTGAGCTTGATTCAGGTTGATTAAATCTTAAATTCTCTGATCCTTTCTCTTAGTTCCTTAACAGATAGCTTCAGGAGCATTATATGGGTGAATATGAAACCAGCTTCATTTGATATGTTGTTAGATATAAATATCAATTATAGTAAGTCTTTCTGGATGGTTGAGTTTTCTGAAGAGATGAGGATTTTCCTTTTTAGGGGGTCAAACATTTTTCTGCTTTTAACCAGCTTAAACATTTGCTTTTACATTTCTGAAATGTATAGAACACTTCATTACCTTCAGAAAAATGAAATATGCCAAATACAATTTCATTTTCTTGATGACTCATTTATATTGCTTGTTATTTGGCTTTTACTGATATAGCAACTACCCTGTAAAGAAAGGAATTTTTGCTTTATTTTGAATAGCCTGAGATTGCTTTGTTTTTCCAGTACTTATGTTTTAAAATATTTTTTTGCTTGCCCTCTTTTTATCAGCTTATGTAGCTACTAGTATGCTTTGCTTTTGGTATTCAATTTATTACAAAACAAAACAAAACAAAAAACCAAGCATATAATCAAACTTATTAATCCTGCAAAGGTAGTTTGATTAAAAGAACTATGAATTTGGTCTTTGTGCAATTTTTTATTGTCAGATATGTTATGAATAAGTGAATTTGCTAGGTATTGAGTTCAGAATGCATAAGAGGTTATTACAGTTACTTTTAGTATATTTTAAAAGCGAAGGTGAAAAGGAAATTTGAATCAAATTTATGTCTTAAGAAAGGGAACATGTTTTCCAAAAGACCAAAGTAGCTTTCTTTTGGGTATGTAGAAACAGAAAATGGGAATTATAGATTACTAATGAAGAATTAATTAGAAATAATATATCTATTTATCTATCTATCTATCTATCAAAAGCCAGCGACTGTAAAGGGCCATAATGACCATAATGATTGGCCACTATGACGGCCATTGTGGCCAGCGAACCTGCCCTATTAGGGGGTGGGCCCAGTCCGGCCAACCTTGTGGCTCCTCCCCACTGCCGGCCTGCCCCTGATCAAGAGCAGGGCGCTGGCTGGCCAAATGCCCTCTCTCATTCCCCTTGGCCAGTCGTGCCCCCCATCATCCCACCCCTCCACGATAAGCCTGCAGCCCCTCTCCCTGGCCACCCCACCAATGATCATACCCCCACCCCAATAGGAGGCATAGCCGGACACCCTACCTCCTGCAATTTCTCTCCCCACCCGGCCCACCCAAGATCAACCCTCCAACCCCAATCAGGGGCAGGGCTGGCCAGCCAACCACCCATGGCTCCTCCCCCAGGCTGCTGGCCCCTAATAGGTACCTCCATCCCATTTAGGGCACGGCTGCTGGCCCAACACCCACAGCTCCTCCCCATGGCCATCCCCACTCCCAGTCAGCCCCCAACCCCAATTCAGGGGCAGGATCCACCAGCCAATTGCCTAAGAGCCCTTCCCCCAACTGACCTGGCCCTGATTGGCCAGATCTGGGTGGGCTTGCAGGCCAACCGTAGGCTATCTCCTCCTACCAACAGCCCAGCCCTGATCCACCCTGATTGGGAGCGGGCCGGCGGACCCCACCTGTGCATGAATTTGTGCACTGGACCTCTAGTAATTCTATAACTAATTATAAAGCTACAGTGTTAATGATAAATTGGGGATGTACTGATTATTGTTGAAATTTACTAGAATTTTGGGACAGGACTTTGTTGACTTTCCCAAGAAAAATCTGGTAGAAAGTTTGTGTATTGTGTTCTCTAATATACTGCCAAGGCAGAACTGGCCATATTTCTTCCTTTTCATAAAGTTTAAACTTACAAAGATGTGCATGAATTTTCATCCTAGAAATTTATTAGTTTGGCATTCAGTAGCACCGAAACAGTGCAGATTGGTGCCAGATTTATTCTTTCTGAAGGGTGCCAGACTGCCTAGTAAATATTGGGCAGTTTTGTAAATTACATGATCTTCCCACTGCCCCTCACTCCACAGATACGTCTATATGTCTGCCAAGTCTACCAAAACATCAGCCTTCCTCTTTGTGAGGTTGTTCTCTTTAACTAAAAATTAAAATAGATTCAATTCTTAGGAGTGTGGATTGTCAATGTCTCATTTTAAAAAGTGGTCAATATGTAATTTGCTCAAATCTGGCAGTCTGAGAACTGGTTTCTCTTGGAGGAGGTGAGTCGCTTAACTTCAAGGGTTAGGGCTCGGATTAAATGAGGTAATGCACAGAAGAGCACCTGGCACATGGTAAGTGTTTAGAAATATTTTGGTTTTCACCCTATGCCCCTTCCCTCAAAAACCTATTTTCATCAGTGCTGAAATTCACGTAATTGATGGAAACAAAGGAGCAGCTATGAGGAAAAAGAGACACAAAGGGAGCCTGAGCTCTGTAATGCTGAAATCACATTCCAGATGCAAGCTAGCAACAAGGAGCTTGGAGGGCACAAATTTAGATTTAAGGAAGGAGACAGATGCAGGCTTCCCTAATATTGAGACTTAACTTGCCTTTTTGTCATTGCTGTTTTCCTGCCCTTTGCACATGCTGCCTCCAGCCCTGATCTCAATCTCCTGGGGCTGTGAGCACCAGACACAGCATGATTGCTGCAAGGGAGACCATGAAAAACAGATACGCAGAAGGTGGACATAGTGTCCTGCAGCCACGGGGCTGTACAGAAAAATAAAGCAGGGTGAGAACACAGATACTGATATCAGTGACTTTATATCTGGTGGGTGAAAGGTGTATTACTATCTCAGAATAACTGTTGATTAGTGTTACGGCTGATTTAAGATCATGAATTCAGCACTTGAATTCCCACTTCCCCCCTCTTGCAGATAAAGAAAAATATGTTTTTGTACGTCAAGTGCTCAGTTCATGCTGCTCCGCAGGGAATTCTATGCCACTCATCCAGTGCCTGCACTTAGGGGGTTGACATTTCTTATGATAGTTTTTGTAAGATTGTCATGAAAAATCCTTGGGTAAGGACTTAGGATTTATCTAAGCCTAACTTGCCTCACCGTCTACTGTAGGCCTGGTGGGGCTGTCCTAGTTGCTTTCATAAACTTGCTCTGATATTGACCCTCTGACGTCAGGTTTCTTGTACCATATCTAAAACTTTCTAAGGATTCATATTCTGCTACTTCTTCTTTCTTTAAAAAAAATTATATATATATATATATATATATATATATATATATATATATATATA